AAGGCCCCGATTTGCCCTCCATTTCCAGTGGGGGGGAGGGTCGGGGAACATGGGAAAAACACATATGAAGCCCGTACCCCCCCCAACCCGAACTCGGGGTCTTCGGGTTAGGTTCGGGTGGTCTGGTAGGTAGTCATTTTGCTCCCCGATGGGGCGGCCCACCGCGCGCCAGCGAGCGGGGGGGGGGGAAGGGGGAGCACCCGAGGGCCCCAGCAGGGCGGCCCGCCTCCGAGCGCAGGCACCCTCCGATGCAGCAGGGGCGCCTTTCGGTCAGACACTGGCCTGCCAACGGGTGCCCCGCCGGTAGTTCCCCAACAAGTGCTTGCACTGAAGGGGTCCTAGCGGAACAAAAGATTTGGCGAAAGTGGCCGGCTGGTTTCCCGGGTTCCCGGTTCTGGGTTCCCGGGTTCCTGATTATTGATTCCGGGCCGATTTCGGAGGGTTCCGGGTTCCGGGTTCCTTGTCGATTTCTGTATCGATCAAACCATCCATTGATTGAGGTTTTTCTCTATTGTAATTCTTTCGATGCCTTGATACGCTCGTCCTGAAACGCAACACGTAACGTCTTCAAAGCGAATTGGCCGAACACGCCGCGTGTTGGTTCAACGCGTTGGCCCGCATTTTGGCGAATGTATCGCGCCAGACCTACACATTCAATCTACATGTTAAGCTCCGTGTCAACACGCTACGGGCTGCGTGTTGCGTATCGGGGCAGCTAAGATAGTTCGTCTCCCGATGGAGCCGCAGAGCCCGTCGGCACCTCACGAAGGCCGAGTCGCCCGGGGCCCGAAGCCAGGCGAAGACGCCCGTACTTGTGGCGCCTCGCCTACGCGATGGGCCTCCCGCAGGCCTGCTCTTCAAGTGAGGTCCGAGCAGATGAGGTCCAAGACAGGATCGCGTGGTTTCAAAAAATCAGATCGGGGGGTTTTCGGCCGTTTTCGGCTTCTGGGGGCCTTCGCTGGGGCCCTGGGATCGTCAAAGGATTACTCGCGACGAAAAACCAGCCCCGAGGGAAGGGTTGGGACTTCCAGGGGGCCCCGTGCAGAAACAATCAGGACGTCGCATGTTTTGGGTCGGAGGATCGCGCCGCATCGCCGATGTGGCTCGATGTGGATCCCCATTTTCTCGACGCCGACGGCGCTGGTGCATCGCCGACGTCGCCGAGGTCGCCGATGCCTCGGCCATGCGGCACGGTCCTCCGACCCCTCGTGCTCGGACCCCGCCGGGGAGGCCTTCAAAGGCGGCGAGGCGTGCGGGGTCCGCCTGGAGAGCCTGCCGCCCCGATAGGAATGAACCAACGACAGGAAACAACAATTTTTGAGTTTTCCGGATTCCGTGCGGCCGAGCGCTGCCGCGGTCGGGCTCGGTGCGGCGGAGAGGGGCCTGATGATGCTGTGACTTCAAAGAGAAACGGGCGACATCAGCACAAACGTCGGGAGGTCCGCGCGGATTCCGTGCGTCGGCGCCGCCCCTGGCGCGCTCCGCTCGCCAGGGAGGGGGTCCCAGCGCCGATGCAAGAAGTTCGCGCGAAGCTCCGCAAGTGTCTGTCTATGCTGCCGATTCTTCTCCTTCTTCTTCGAGAGGCGGGAGGGTCCGCGCGGAGGGCCCCCTGCCCCGGAAGGATCCATTCGCTTATTGAGATAACGCTCGCCCAGACAAGTCGACAGGAATTTTGCATTAGTTCACTCGCCATAGGCATTCGAGTGTGCCGCTTCAGTCCCCAGTCGATTCCGCCAATCGATGTGTGCTGTGGCCGGGGACCTTCGCTGATTCTTGCACGTCGTTTTGCCATCCCGCCCGGTCCACTCGGAATGCGGTGCCGTTCGCACGTGGAGCGCTTCTGGAAGTTTTCACCAAAGAACGTTTTGCGAAAGGGTGTTTTGTCAATCCTCGACAGAAGAGCATCAGTGGCGCGCGCGTGGTCTGTCAGACTCTGCGTGTCAGTCGATCGCGCCGCCCCGCGCCCTCTTCCAGGGGTGCAGCACCGGCTGGCCGTCCCGGCCGCTCCGCGGCGGCACCCGCCACGTGAGCGCTGTCCTTCCCTCCTCCCTCCACGTGGCCGCTTCGCCTTTCATTTCCTCCTCCTCCTCCTGCCGCCGGTTACTTCGCGCTTTCCGTTGCCCGGACCGCCTGAGCGCGCGTGCGGCCTGTCTCTGCCGCGCTGCGACGTAAAAACGGCGCGTCGCTCGATCCTCGATTGCACACAGAGCCCGCCGCTTCCTCTGGAGTGATTCGCTGGCGGGGCCCTCCGGCCGGCGTGCCGCTGATGCTGTCTTTGCTCCCCGACAGGCGGCCCGCCGCGCGTGAGCGGGGGGGGGGCGCCCAAGGGCCCCAGCAGGGCGGCCCGCCACTGGGCCCCGGACGTCCAGGTCAGAAACTGGCCGCCCTCCGCGGGCCCCCGGGGACCGCCAAAGAACGGTTCGGGAGGAAGAGCGAATGCGTTCTGGGGGATGGCCCGGGGGTCCAGGGCCCGCTTCCCTGAGGACCCGTGTCCTTCATGCTGAGATTGGGTGCCCCACGGTAGATCGTCGCCTCCCGATGGGGCAACTGACGAAAGATCCGAGTCGACGAAGGAGATGGTTATAACAAGCTGAATTATTGTTGTTCGCCTGCTGAATAATTGCGAAGGCCTTGCGGCCGGTGCCGCCGACCATGAAGGGAGACGACGACGATGACGACGGCGACGACGACGCTGACATGGGCCAGAGTCTCCAGAGATGCTTCGTGCGGTCTCTTCGGAAGACCTGCTGAGTGGTTGTTGTTGTTGTTGTTTGATCCGCGGCCCCAGAGCCCCCGACCCCTTCCCAGGGGGAGGCTCTACGACGCGCACAAGTCCGTGCCTGCACGGTGCTCAAGTGATCGATCGCGTGTCGTGTGTTTACCGACCTCCTTCCTGGCGCGCGGCGCCCGTTCCGATTGCAACCGTGACCGGTACGTCTCTTGCACGCACCAGAAAACCACGGCCCCTTGGTGTGCTTCCACAAGCTACACCGCCGACATTTCTGCTTCCAGGATCCGTGCTCGGTGGCCCCAGGGCCCGAACGCGGCCCTCGGAGGCCGAAATGCCCTGGCGCGCGGGGCGCACCGGGGGGCGCCGAGGCAAGAAATCCGCGCGGACCTCCGAACGTTTGCGTTTATGTCGCTTTGTCTCTGTGAATTCACAGCGTAGACGAATCGGCAGCATAGACAGACACTTGCGGAGCTTCGCGCGAACTTATTGCATCGGCGCTGGGACCCCCTTCCTGGCGAGCGGAGCGCGCCAGGGGCGGCGCCGACGCAAGGAATCCGCGCGGACCTCCCAACGTTTGTGCTGATGTCGCCCGTTTCTCTTTGAAGTCACAGCATCATCAGGCCCGAGCCCGACCGCGGCAGCGCTGGGCTCCGCCGCCAGGGGGGGCCAGCGCCGGTCCAAGAAAGCCGCGTGGAGTTCCGAAAATTTCCGCGCGGACCTCCGGGGGAACAGCGTCGCGATTGAACCAACAATCTAGTATCGCTGGAGGTCTGAGTAGGGGACCGACTACAGAATTGATTTGCCCCAAGATTGAATCAAGATTAAATTTCCCGCCGAACCTGCAAATCATGCGTAGAATGCTCCGCAGATCTGAAGAGCGCTACGCGTATTTGTCGTACGTTCGACGAAAGGATCAGTTCCGGGGTAAATCCTGCTCGAGAGGCTTGTGGGGGGGGGGGGGGCGTCATCCCCTTTCCGAGAGGTCGATTCTCCTACTCGAGAGGTTTGGGAATGGGGGGGGGGTCCAAGAAACTATTCTGCAGGCGATCCCCTACACGAGAGGTTGATCCTCCTACTCGAGAGCTCTGGGAGGGGGGGGGAGTTCAAGAAGCAAGTCTGCAGTCGATCCTCCTACTCGAGATGGGCCTACTCGAGAGGTCTGGGATGGGGGGGGAGTTCAAGAATCAGTTCTGCAGTGGATCCACCTGCACGAGAGGTCTGGGGGAGGGGGAGGTGGGCGGCCTCCCGCCGCGCCGGCGCGCGGGCGCGCGCGCGCGCGTTCGTGGGCGCAGAGCCGGGCGGCCAGGGACCGAGGTCGGTGGTTCCAAGATGGGGTCCTGAGGGATGGGGGCCCAAGCATGGAAAGGGATCCAAGGGTGGATTTGCGTTGTTTGAGGCACGTCGTCCTTAGGACCCCATCCCTCGGGACCCCACCTTTGAGTCACCGACGAGGGCAGAGACGCGGGGACCGCGCCCAAGATGTCGCGGGAGCTTGTCGGCGCCGATCTCGGCCGTGGTCCGCGCAAGCCGTCGCCGATTCGCAAGGTTTCGGGAGATTCGAGGCGGGGGTCAGTGCCAACGGGGATCAGCCAGAGCGCCAGATCTTGCAGGGTCCTGCAGAGCCAGGGGTGCATTGGCCAAGTCTAGCGCGCAGGACCTTGCAGGTCCGTGCCGGGGCTGATTTCGACTCCTGCAGTTCGATTCGGTTCGATTTCGATCGATGCCGATTCCGAGATTCTATTCGACTTCGGATTCCGATGTGGATTCCGCTTTACACATGGAGGCCTACTGGCCTGCCGATTTCTGCTAATTCGACTTCTTGTATTCGGCTGCTGATTTCCGCCGATCCGAATCATTTCGATCTCGGTCATGGTCTGGGCCGGCCGTCGCCGTTTCGCAAGGTTGATCCACCAAGCGAGGGTGACCAAGATTCGAGCAGTCTCGAAACTTGTCTTGCTTGCTTATAAACCAACCAAAGAATGTTCTGAGAACTCTTCTGTGGACTGCGCGACTTGTTCTCAGAGCATTTCTGGCCATTTCTGGCTGAGACTGTATTTCGTTTTGGTACCTCTGATTTGTGTGGTTGGGACATTGTTTTCGTGATTGCTATATCTGTTTTGTTCTGGAAGCATGTCGTGGTAGGCCTCCAGGAGTATGCCGAGGCGGTCGAAGACCGGTTCAAACGATGGACGGTGACCAAGATCGTCACCGAAAGTTCTCGTTCCGTCTCGGGCACGGTCACCGTTTTCTCTCCCTCTGGGGAGGGGCCATGATCTCGCCCGCGCGCGCGGCGGGCCGCGGGGCCGCCTGGACGCGCTGGCTCTCGTCGTCGCTCGCCGCCGCCAGCGTCGTCGAGGTCGTCGTCGTCGTCGATGTCGGCCTCCGTCAGCCGCGAGCAGGCCAGAGCCGGTGGCCCTGGCCAGCGTAACAACTGTGCTCACAGCTGGCGTAGCACTCAGAGCCCTCGTGCCGTCTGCTCTCTGCACCGCGCTGGCCAGAGCGAATGCAAGAACGAATGTCGTCGGCGTCGTTGATGTCGCTGTCGTCGACGGCGGCGTCGTCGTCGCCGCCTCGCCGTCGTCGTCAATGTCGACGTCGTCGTCATCGTCGCCGCCGTCGCGCGGTGTCGGAGCGGCGTCGTGCGGTGGGCGGGAGCAAGATGGAGGCACAGTCAAACCGCATCATCAGGATAAGTAACATTCCAATGATACCCTTGCGCCTGGCCCTTGGCCATGGGCCGTTGGCTTCCAACTTGGACTTCAACTGAAGCGTTAATTGGCCTTGCACATTACCGCGCATCCTTCTGACCCGGTCGCACTGTGCACTGCGTGGTAGACAGTGCACCTCCAGGCTGTAAGGGCAGCCAAGGGCAGCATCCAGTAGCGGGAGGGCGGGGAGGGATGGCCATCATGGTCACGATTGACTTGGGTCCTGGTTGCGCTAGAGAGGGACTCCGCCCTTCGGACCTTCGGACGGCCTCGCTGCCGGCCAGAGCCGTGGAGCACGTGGGCCAGGTCCCTGAGGCACGCTAAGCGGAGCGGTACCCGAGGGCTTAGCTCCCACCCCGTGCCCCCCAGCTCACGCGCCGGGTCCCAGCGCGTGCGCTGGGGCACGGGGTGGGAGCAGGCGGAGGCCAGGTTCGACGTGGCAGCTGAGCTCCTGCGGCTTTGGAGGAGGACGAGCGGACGACACTCTTGGTGAAGCTCGGCCTCCCGCCCGAGAAGTCGGCCGCGTCGTGAGTGCCGCGGAGGCTCGTGCCCTCCTGCGGCACTCCTGGTTCGGCGCGGAGGCTCGTGCTCCTCCTGCGCCCTATGCCTGGCGGGCGGAGGCTCGTGTTCCTCCGCCGCCAGGGCCTGGCCCCGCGGCGGCGTGCGACCGCCCGAAGCGCGCGAAGGGCAGCGCTCGGAAGTGCGCATTTTTTTTGGGGGGGGCGAGGACCATCGAGGAACATCCTGGATCGCCGAGCAAAGCAAAAAAAAAAAAAGAACACGCACGAAACCGAATACATGCACTGGGAGGGGACGTCCGAGCGATGGCAGGAGGAAGGGGCGTCCCCCCCAGCAGAGCAGAGCAGGTCGGCCACGCGCAGAGGGGGGGTAGGGGGGAGGGGGGAAGGCCTCTTAGAAGGAGGCTCCTTCTCAGATAGAAGGCGCGGGGCTCATCTATGAATGTCGGGGCGGCGCCTTCCGAGAAGCAGCCTCCTTCTAAGAGGCCTCCCCCCTCCCCCCTGCGCCCCCTGCGCGCGCCGCCCTGCGCCCCGTGCATCGGCGGGGCGCCCTGGCCCTGAGAGGGCTGCGTGGCGCCGGCAGCCGAGGCTGCGAGCGGGCTCCGGCGCGCGACAGAAGCCCAAATTCCCTCGCGTCATGGAAGGCATCACGACGGACGTTGTTCTTGTTATTTTCGGCCTCTGGGTGCCCTCTGGGGCCCTGGAAATGGCAACAAGCGGCTCAGGATGAAAAGCCGACCCAGGGGAATGGGTCGAGACCGCTGGGGGTCGACATCGTGTAACAATCATGGCGCCGGGGGTCTGGGAGTGTCATCGGGGTGGTTGAGAGAGCGTGCGCATTCGATACTCGCGCGCTTCACTAGCCGCCTCCTGTCTCCAAGGGCCCACTCTGCATCATAACTCACAGCGGCCATCACGAAGAGAGTCCTCGCTGGGCGGCCGAGGAAGCCCTCGACCGTCGGCAGGAAGACGCGTGAGGCCCCGCGCCTGGCGGGAACGGCATAGTCAGATATCACTGCCTGGCTCGAGGGGATCCTGGAGTACCGTCAAGAACCGGAAAGAAGGAACATCTCGGGTTTGGAAGGGGCTCGCTGTTCCTTAGAACGTCCCATGGTTGTTCCTCGGGCGTTCCTTGTGCACTGTGCACCCTGGTGCTCTTGAGGCCAAAGCGGGCCTCGTTCCTTATGACACATTCCTTGTGGGAGCAATTGCGCGCCATCCTGGCGGAGGCGGGACTTTCTGTTGAGGTGGTGAGTCCGCGCGTTTCAAGAACATGCGCAGACGCTCTAAGAACGGGGGGGGCAAAGTTGTAGTCACCTTGCTCGAAAGTCACCGGAGCAAACGCATGTTTTGAGAGTCTCTGAGGACAGAGAGGGCGTGTTTCCTAACAGTGGAAATCGCAATCATTTCGCAAACATCTAGGCTGAGGGAGCCCTTGCTTAACGGTGGATGGGCCATTGGCCTGCATGGGGCGGGGTATTACATGCATCATGCGCTGCTTGACGTAACGAAGCGCGCCACTTTCCATTCCAGAACAGTCAATGAAAGCAGGCTTCGCTAAGCGAAGAGTAGTCGAACATAAATGCTTAACGGAAGAGAAAACTCGATGGATGCCCAATCGTATGCACAATATCGAGAGGTGTTGAGGTCAATGAGTTTTCCCTACCTAGGCTCTGCCTAGAAGGGTTCTTACTCTCTTTGCTTAAAGGGCCGGGCAATGGAAACCGCCCCGGGCGGTTCCCCCAGTCCGCGCCCCGCGGTTCCCCCAGTCCCCTGGGAGCTTTAGCCTTAGCTTTAGCTTTAGCTTAGCTTTAGCTTTAGCTTTAGTTTAGCTTTAGCTTAGCTTTAGCTAAGTGTTAGCTTAGCTTTAGCTTAGCTTTAGCTTAAATTTAGCTTAGCTTCAGCTTAGTGTTAGCTTAGCTTTAGCTTAGATTTAGCTTAGCTTTAGCTTAGCTTCAGCTTAGCTTTAGCTTAGCTTTAGCTTAGTGGTAGCTTAGCCTTAGCTTAGTTTTAGCTTAGCTTTAGCTTAGCTTAGCTTTAGCTTAGCTTTAGCTTAGCTTCAGCTTAGCTTTAACTTAGCTTTAGCTTAGCTTCAGCTTAGTTTTAGCTTAGTTTCAGCTTAGCTTCAGCTTAGCTTTAGCTTAGTGTTAGCTTATATTTAGCTTAGATTTAGCTTAGTTGCAGCTTAGTGCTAGCTTAGCTTTAGCTTAGTGTTAGCTTATATTTCGCTTAGCGTTAGCTTAGCTTTAGCTTAGCTTCAGCTTAGCTGTAACTTAGCTTTAGCTTTGTTTTAGCTTAGCTTTAGCTTAGCTTCAGCTCAGCTTTAGCTTAGCTTTAGCTTCAGCTTAGCCTTAGCTTAGCTTTAGCTTAGCTTTCGCTTAGCTTCAGCTTAGCTTTAGCTTAGTGTTAGCTTAGATTTAGCTTAGCTTTAGCTTAGCTTTAGCTTAGCTTTAGCTTAGCTTTAGCTTAGCTTTAGCTTAGCTTTAGCTTAGCTTTAGCTTAGCTTCAGCTTAGCTTTAGCTTTAGCTTAGCTTCAGCTTAGCTTTAGCTTGCTTTAGCTTAGTGTTAGCTTAGCCTTAGCTTAGCTTTAGCTTAGCTTTAGCTTAGCTTCAGCTCAGCTTTAGCTTAGCTTTAGCTTAGCTTTAGCTTAGATTTAGCTTAGCTTTAGCTTAGCTTTAGCTTAGCTTTACTGTTACTACTAATGCTGCTTTCCTAGGGGCTCCAACTCCTAGCTAGGTAGGGTCGCACTGGGATAATTGAATTGCGTTGCTAGGGCGGCGGTGATGCCAGCGGATGTCCGTTTTGGGGGTGTAGAGGCAAACAGAAATCTCATTGTGGGTGGCAATATCGCAGCAATACCACAGACTCAAAACGAGAAGTTCCATTGCTCGAGAGACTCATGGACGTCAAGGTTGTCTAACGCAACGTGAAAATAACGGCTACTTGGCGGACACACGGTGGGGACCTCAATCCAGTCCCAGGGATGTTCTGTCTGGCGCGAAGTGCTTGAACCGCCAAAGGAAGGGGCGAATGAACCGGCCTCCATGCGCCATGAATCCGCGTAGCGCGTTGGCAACCATTTCACGTATCGGCACGCAGTGGCTGTGTAGGACAAGCCTTGCCATGGAGAGGACATGGCGTGGGTCGTCGAGCTGAAACTGCTATGGGGACATGGAGTGGAGGAGCGCACCTTGGGACAAGTGGTGGCCCTGAAAATCAGGCGACGCAGCCAAAAAGCATACTTTACCCCAGGAGGGATGTGAGAGCATGGTAAGAAACGCACTCCCAGCCTCAGATCGGTCGTGAAAAATCTATCCAAAAAATAAGGCAGGAGAAGCGGCAGGGGAAATGCACGGAAGCGGAAACCGGTGTGGGCAATAGGGGCGCGACGAGCGCACGGACTTTTGTGTTTACATGTCACTGTTTGTTCTAGGACTAGCGAGGCTTCATAATCCATGCGCGTTCAGATGCGCACAGGACGCATACCCACAACCAGATGACCACAAACTTGGGCGAGCCCTCGCCCCACATTGACGACGACAACGCCAGCGTCGGCGACGGCGCCAGCGCTGGCGGCGCCCACAGCGACAGCGGCGCTGGCCCTGGCGCCGTCGCCGTCGATGACGTCGACGGCCCATCGCGGGGCGGCGACGGCGAGGATGGCGAGGACTGCAGCGGCGGCGACGGCGGCAACAGCGGCGACGGCGCTGGTCCCGGCGGTGGCGGCGACACCGCGGGGCGGCGGCGGCGGCGTTGGCGCGGGTTGGTGGCGGCGAAGGCTCGTCGCGGCCCCGCCGCTGCTGCCCGGCGCGGCGTCGCCTCGCCCCGGCAGCGGAGCGCGGGCGGCGGGCCGCCGCCCATGCGGGTCGCAGTCGGCGTTCCTGGGCATCACTGGGGACAAGGAGCCAGCTGCGGGTCGGAGGTTCTGCTTTTCTGGGGCCCTGCTGTGCTGGGGCTCTGCTGCTGGCTTGGGCCAGTGCCCTGCTGCCCTGGGGCTCTGCTGTGGTTTTGCTCGCTCGAGCATCTGACACGTCTGCAGAGCTACAATGTCAATGCCACGCTTTCTTGTGGCTCTGCTGCGTTCCTCCCCTGAATGCACCCCGCTTGAGGCGGCGGAGAGCTGGAGAGATCCATGCTACAAGTGGTGCCCAGCCCCTAAACAGGAAACGCGCCAGGGCACATTCGGAAAAATTAGGGTGCAGGTTTCGGTCACACTCGGGCAGACTTTCGGGCATAGCGTCTGCCACGGCACCCCCCTGATACAGACGAGGCTACGTGAGACATCTAGGTCTCCCACGGGGGCGCGAAGATGATCGCACTTGGCGCGTCGCGGCCTGGGCTTGGGCAGCTGCCTTTCACCAAGGGGGCGGCGCGGAGGAAGGATGGCGCAAAGACAATCTCGGCACGAAGGGCTGCGAGTCAGGACGCTGCACACCAGGACCCTTCAAACGAGCATCGGGAGAGTGTTTCGGCCTACGGCCGCAGCTCTCTCGGGCGTGCCGGTGTCCTGGTTTGTCAAAGTCCCAGTTTACGGGCCGCTGTGCGAGGTTCGGGGACCTGGGGACAACGAGAAGCCAGCTGCGAGAGGTGCGTCTGGCAGGCTCGCAGGACGAGGACAATCGATCCAGAGCGTCCTAGGGCTCTCTCCGAGGGTTCCCGAACGCTCTGGACGGCCGCGGCGCCTGGTACATGCCCCAGACCCGCTGGTATTCAGAGATCCCCGATCCATTTTCATCCAAATCTACGGTAGGTTCGTGTCCTGTCGACAGGCGGCGACCCTGTAGTTGGCGTTCAACGGTGAACGCCGTTGGTGACCCAGAATCGGCCGATGTTGAACGATCTGACGTTTTGGAAACGGCCGATTTGCAAAGGTTGAGCGATACCCGCGGTGTCAGCAACCAACGCCGAAGTCGGCCCGACACGAACCTGCCGTACAGTCAGCCCGCATCGAAAAGTTAAGCGATGTTCCAAGGCTGCCCTTGTATCCTTCCCCGTTGGCCTATCCTTGGCCGCTTTCGCTGGCCGCGCCCTGCCCGCAATGTGTCGACATGGCCTTCCAGGGCCCTTGCGTTCTTATCGTGCGTCCTGGTTATACGGGTTGACAGTATTCTCCAAACAGTGCTTGCACTTAGTGGTTCAGGGATCGTACTTCTCTTCTGGGTGCGCCGAGGATTCGCCACGTTCTGGCCCGCTGCTGCCCGTTCCTGCACGTCGCCGCCCGTTGCCACCTGTGTGGGTGCGTCGAGGGTCCACGTTCCCGCCCGTTGCCGCCTGTGCGGGTGCCGACCCGACCGACAACCAGGCACTGGCACACTCAGAATCGTGACCAAGGACGGTGGCGACGGGCGGCTACGGGCGGCCGCAAGCTGGCCAGACCGACGACCAGGCCTAGCTCCTCAGAAGAAAATTGAGAGCCGTTGTTTGGGGAAGAAGGCGATTGCTTCTTGCTTCCAGACCCACCATTGCCATAACGTTTTCCGTGCCCGTTTTCGCTTCCGCCCGAAGGAATCTAATTACGGTGGGCCAGAGCAACGGCACAAAGTCAACACGCGTGCGCACATGTCGAAATCATACCAAACACGCCAACACGCAAGAACGTCAATATAACATCATCAAAACCCCTGCTGTTTTTCTCACAACATTTTTTGCGAATGTAATACCCACGCGCATTTGCTGAGGCTGTAGAAATTGTTTGAGCAATGTCGCCCCGAACCCGCATTCTCATTTCACCACGCGGTCGATCCACCTCGATCCAAAATTGCGCCCAGTGCACGAATCCGTATCGTATAGTCTCATACGGGCCACACGCGCGCGCGCCGACAAGCAGTCGTTGCGAAATCCTTCCAAAACCATTGGATGTAGAAGCATTTTGAAATAGAATTTTTCAAACAGCCATGAAGCAGGCACATGCGTTTAACACAAAGTTTGCCAGGGTTCTTGCATGTCCGCTCGCGAGCACTTCCTCGTTCGCCATCACCATCACCGGCGCCGCCGCATCACGTCATCGGCAATCGCCGCCATGCCGCCATCATCATTCAAGTACCTCAATCACCGACACATGGACTTCATCATCGTCATCGTCGTCACCAGCATCGGCGCCGTCATTGGCCTTGCCGTCGTCATCGCCATTATCGCCACCAAATCATCATTGTTGCCGCCGTTGCTGGCATCTTGCCAGCATCATCATGATACCGCGCTCGCCCGCCTCAGCGACCCGCATTGAATTGACCGCGCGCCATCGCGGTTTTTTCAGACGCGCTGGGAAGTCGCTATGGGTAGACGCCATCGAGGCCGCATGGGCTGTGCCAAACCAGCTGGCCGCTCTGCGCACGAGCTTGCGCGCGCCAGCGCGGCCGCAGATGCGCCAGCCAGGGCCAAGCAATCACCGCAATCGCGGCCGCATGAGTTTTGCAAAGCAAGTTTCGGATGGAAGGGTGGGGTGATTGCGCGAGCAGCGGGATTTGACCACACATGACTGGGCAAAATTGACTTCTCCTTTTAATAAAGAGAATACACTCTACCCCCCCCCCCCGGGTTTATCGACCGCCCTTTTCGTATTGCAATTTACATATGATTCTGCCCCATCGTCTTTCCTAAATATAACTCGTATCATCCCAGCCGAGCCGGTATCGACCCCCCCCCCCCGCCGTCCTCCGCAAAACATATTATGCGCGCGCATTCGTTTATCATAAATTATCAGTTTCCAAGCGTCCTTTGCAACAAATGAGACGAAGTGCACACGCGCGTCGTCGCGCGCGCATGCCAGAATCCTTCAGAGACCTTCGGATCCGGAAGGGTGTCCAAATCGAGTGCCCAAAGAGCATCTAAACACATATGGTTTCGCAACACGGATTTCAAAAGAATAATAACATACAAAAAACGCTTGCGCATTCTTCAGAGAACCATATGTATGTTTTTACACATAGCATAACATGCTACCAAGCGGGCTTCGCGCGCGCATGTCGAAATCATGCGAACGCCCTTGCGCGCGTGCTGGGGTGGCACGATCCGTGTCAAATAATACCATGCGGGCCACTCTCGCGCGTCTGCCGCGCGCGCATGTCGAACTCCTTCCAAAACCCCCATCACCGATGTGAAGACGCCGTCATCGCCGTCGGCGTGATCAGCATCGGCGCCGTCACGGGCTGCCCCGTCGTCGTTGTCAGCATCGTCACGAGCATCGCTACTATCATCATCGTGTCTACCGTTGTCGACGTTGCCATGATACCGCGCTGGCCGCCCTCCCAAGTCGCCGACTCGCATTGAAATGCCCGCTGGGATGTGCCGAGCGGTCAGCGCCACCGCCTTCGCGTCGGTTGCGTCAAACGAACTGGCCGGTGCGCGCGCGAGCATGCGCGGGCTGGCGCGGCCGCAAAGATGCATCAGCCAACGCCAAGCACTCATCGCAATCGCCGCCGCATGGGTTTTGCAAACCGAGTTGCGGCTGGGTGGGTGGGATGTTTGCGCGAGCAGTGGAGTTGACAACTTCAAGTTTGGCAAGTGATTTGCACCACTTAGAGTGCACCACGTTTTTTTCCTTTCTACAGAGAAATAGGTTTTACCACCCTCCCCCCCGGGGTTAAAGACCCCCCGGGAACCGATGCAAAACACATTGGATTCTGACCCAATGTCCATCCAATCCTACTGGTGAATTCATGATTTCCCAGCCAAACCGGTATCCCCCCCCCGCCATCTTCCGCCAAAAAACATTATGCGCGCACAATCGCAGAACATGAAACGAAGTGCACACGCGCGCGTCGTCGCGCGCGCATGCCGGAATCCTTCAAAATCTTTCGGTTTCGGACGTATTTCAAAATCCAGTGTCCAAAACACATACAAGAACACAGGGTTTCGCAACACGGATTTTCAAAAAAACATGCGCGCTCGCGAAGTCTTCAGAAAACCATAGGTTGTTCTCAAGATTTTCAGCACATACTACCAAGAGGGCGCCGCGCGCGCATGTCGAAATCGTTCGAATGCCCTTGCGCGCGCGCCGTCGCGAGAATCCTTTGCAACAGCTAAGACGAAGTGCGCGCGCGCGTCCTCGCGCGCGCATGCCGAAATCAAAAAAGAAACGCTCACTTCTGGAAGGATTTCAAAATCGAGTGTCCAACACACACACACACACAACAAAAAAAACAGGGTTTCGCAACACGGATGTTCAACAACAGCGTGCGCGCGCGTTCTTGCGAATTCGTAAGAAAACAATGTGTTTTTTTCAGCAGTTTCATAAAATGCGGGCTTCGCGCGCGCATGTCGAAATCGTTCGAACGCCATTGCGAGCGAGCTGGGGTGGCACGGTCCGTGTCGAATAATCCATACGAGCCACTCTCGCGCGGCTGCCGCGCGCGAATTTCGAATTCCTTTCAAAACCTTCATCACCGACGCGAAGACGCCGTCGTCGTCGTCGGCGTGATCGGCATCGGCGCCGTCACTGGTTGTGCCGTCGTCGCTGTCATCACCGTCACAAACATTGCTACTATCATCACCACCGTGTCTGCAATTGCCGACGTTGCCATGATACCGCACCCGCCCAAGTCGTCGACTCGCACTCAAGTGCCCGCTTGGACGTGCCGAGCGGTCAGCACCACCGCGGCCATGCCGATCGCGCCAGACTACTTGGCCGCTGCGCGCGCGAATGCGCGGGTTGGCGCGGCCGCAAAGATGCACCAGCCAGCGCCAGGCACTCATCGCAATCGCCGCCGAATGAGGTTTGCAAACCAAGTTGCGGGTGGGTGGGTGGGAGGTTTGCGCGAGCAGCGGAGTGAACCATTCATTGCAAACAGAAATTCTTGCACCACCTAAATTGCACCGCGAATGCAGTGCGTAAATATATAGCCGTGCCGTTTATCCCCCGCGCGGCCGTACGTCTTGGGCAGGCGCCTCGGCCACAGGGGCAAGCGGTGCCGCGTACGCGGGGTTTGCCATGGGTTTGCCGCGGTGCCAGCTTCGTCCGTTTGGGCGCGTTCAGAGCAAACGCTACGGCGACATAAACACACAGACATACGTATACACATATATGTGTGTAAAACACGTATTGATTGTCCGATGCCCCTGCCCCACCGTAAAACTCGCGCGGGTGGAAGTGAACACGGGCACGGAGACGGTAGCAGCAATGGTGCGCATGGAAACAGGAAGCTTACATGTTGTTTCTGCATGTTACGTTGTTTCTACACGCCGCGCTGCGCGGACGGAGGCGGAAGCGGAAACGGAAATCGTCACCAGCGTTTGGAAATTGGAAATGTTTTGATTGTCCGAAGTTTGTACGACCCATTTCACGCTGGGTGAGCGGAGGCGAAAGCGGAAACGGACATAATCGCGCCAATGGCTCGTCTGGACGCAGGACACGCTGGACCGTGTTATAAAGACAGCTAGTTGTCCTTACCCATTGCAGCCTGTGCGAGCGGAGGGGGGGCAGAAACGGAAACGGTAGCAGCTTTTGTTCTCTTGATTTGGAGGAAGTTGTATGTATTGTTTTCCCCTTCCCCGTTGATTGTGTCAACGGGGGCGAAAAAATGGCGCGGACATGGTAGCAGCAACGGCGCATTTGGAAACAGGACGTTGTCATGTTTCTTGAACTGTCCTGTCCGTTACTCCCACCCACTGGTAGAGTGCAGACAGAGGCGAGAACTAACGCGAACACGGTCGCAGCAAGTGCGCGCATGGACGCAGCAAATGTTACGCGATGTCTCCCGCCGTAGATTGCGCGGACGGAGGCGAAATCGGGAGCGGGAGCAGCAACAGCAATTGCGAGTTTCAAAATCATTGTTGTTGTGTGTTGTTTGCTGTTTCTGGCCGCGATACTTTTCGCGGGTGGAGGCGAACACGTATTTAAGCAATAACCATGCTTACCAGTAGTTGACTTTCTCGTTCTGAAAGGGCTCGGTTCGTTCTGGGGGCTGCACACAACCAGTCTAGATGGTGATTCGGACCGTTCTGAATTTTGATCCCTTCCGTTCTATTGAGTCGACCCTGCTTGAACCCTGAATCGGTCCTCCTTGGCACGCGACTGGTCTTATCAGGGAATGGGCTAGACTCAGATCAGGTCCGACGAAACCATCTCTGTTCCAAGATGGACTGACTCACAATTCAGGAAGGGCGGGCTCATGATTCAGACGCCTGCGATCTCTTCCAGGACGTTGCCATGCCGTCTTGCACGGCCGCCCCCCTGGCCACGCCCCTTCACAAACGGCATGTGGAACAGCCCCTCGGACCCTTTCCGAGGTCCATACGCGTTCCTTTTTCGAGTTGCGTCCAGGAGCGGCGACGGGGGAACCCTCCGAAGATCGAAAAGCAAGGGACACCGGGACCAGGAGGAAGCCGTTGGGGCCTTAGTTGGTTCTGTCCTTGGCCGTTTTCGTGGTCCCAGGGCCCTCCACACGGGCCCTGGGACAGTCAAATAATGACCCAGGCAGGATGAAAGGTTGGCTTGTTTTCCCTCTGCAGGACCCGTCTCCTTCATGCCAGACGCATGGCCATGAGCTTTACGTTGGCGTTCGTTTCTCGTGCGTCTGGGTGCCACTGGGCCCAGAGGGGCGTCGTTCCTTCCCCGAGGTCCCTCAAGTGGCAGACCTCTCAGTGCAGATCCGTGGCCGTGTTTGCTCGAGCGCAGGTGTCTCGCTCCTCCGACGGGCACCTCGCCTGCGCCGCTCGAGCTCCAGGCCCGGGGAGCGGGGAGACCAGAAGGTACCGATAGCGTTACTGCCCAGACCTCTCCCGGAGTGCGTTCTGACCAGGATCTCGCGGCGAATCCAGCGGTGGCGACGGGGGCCTCGCAGGAGGCCCCAGAAAGGCTAAAGCGAGGCAAGGGTAGCGGTATGGGTACCTTTGCTTCCTCTGAGAGTCTGCGGGGATGGAGAAGGTGCTCCGCGAGCTGTCGGTGGAGTTCTCTGACTTCTGCGCCGTGGCCCTGCGCAGGTTGAGGGCCGCGGCAGCAGAGGAGCTGGAGGCAGAGAGGGCCAGGCTGGCACGCGCCAGGATCTTGGGGCAGCCAGAAATTGAAGAAACTATCCTGAGGAGGAGAAGGTATCCATACTGTTACCCTTGCCTCGTTTTCGTCTTTTTCGGCCTCTTGGGAGGCCCTCGTCGCCACCGCTGGATTCGCATCGAAATTCTGGACAGAACGCACCCTGGGATAGGTCCGGGAGGGGTCCGGGGACTAGTGGTATTGGTATTTCTTGGGTTCTCCGAAAATGCATAACCATGAATTTTCAGAATTCTGCGCGGATTTTTTGCTGGGACCTCCTGGCTGCACCTCCAGCGCCACCCCCTGGCGCGCTCCGCACGCCAGACACGGGGCCAGCGCCGATCCAAGAAATCAGCGGGGAGCTCCAACAGTTTATATATTCCTCTTTCTATATTTTTACAAGCCCGGGCGAGGGGAAAACCCGTCCCCCCCCCCCCCAAAACCGGACTCCCGGGATCTGGGGCTTTGGGACCCTCTGGACGGGCCTCGAAGCGGCCCCCCGGGCCTCGCAGGGCGTTTTGCCAAGCCTTCACAGCACACCTAGGGCGATCAGGGGGGTCATCGGAGACGTCCCAGAGAACCCCAAGACAGCACAACAGCGCTCCAAGAAGCCGTCATGCCCCCAAAGATCGTTCCAAAACGTACCAAGAGGCCTCCAAGAGCACCCCCAAGAAGGCCCCAAGAGGGCATACTTATCGATTTAATGTAGGTTTTTGGTGAATCTCGGGTTCTCCTCTTTTCGGCTTCCCGACGCTCCAAGACAGCGGTTTTCTGGGCGTCCGAAGTCGCCTGGGAGGCTCCAAAGTCGCCCCGCAACCATCTGAAAGGGCTTCCAGGCAGTCCAAGAGAGCCCCAGAACGGCACAACAGGGGTCCAAAATGGCCCTAAGAGAGCCCCATGGCGGCCCAAGATGGCCCCAATACATCCTCCGAAGCATTCCAAATCGTGACTGGGGCGTTCAGGGAGACTGCGGTTAGAGGCAGGTTGACCTTAGGAAGCCCCAGATGCCCCCAGAACACGCCCAGGAGGCCTCCAGAAGGCTTTAAGAAACCCTGAGAACTTTGGTGAGGCCCCCAGAGGCTCTCCAAGAAGGAGCCTCCGCAAAAAGAGCTGAGGAGGATGGGGAGAATACCCAGGGTATGGCGAGAATGATGAAAATAAGCATGGAGGAAGGACAACGAACAACATTATTATAACGGCGATGCCAGAAAAAGGTAGCAAGGAGTTATCGCAAAATTGTCCGCTTGACCTTCCTGCCATTTCCGCCTGCATACCAATATTCAAGGACCAAGGTGCATGGCGCGAAGCGCCACTGCAGTCTTGTATATATATATATACATATATATATACATATATATATATATATATATATATATATATATGCAGTTGCTGATTCTTCTCAGTAAGATTATTATTCTGATTATCATTGGAAATGTAGGTGTTATTCTTAAAACCGTATTGATGGCCGAGGTTCGTCCTCCGTCTCCCCCTGCTCCGCTTGAGGAGCCTCTGCAAGCCACGGCAGGATCGTCGGTGAGGCATCCATCGTCGTTGTCGGCGCCGCAGCCGCCGTTGTCCCATCCAGAGCGGAGTTTCTTGTGAGGTGCCACGTTTGCGAGCGGCTGAGTGGCCCGCCCCCTCTTGGGCTTTTGAGCCAGGATCCCCCCTATCCGCATCATTACTGCCGCCACTGCGATACTTCGCCAGCCCCCTCCCCCAACGGAACTCCAGAGGACTCGCCGAGGAACCCCTGAGGAATCACGAGGAGCCCGTGGGGAGCTGGCATGAGAGGTCTCCAGGAGACCCAGATATCGTGAAGCATACGAAACCTTTATGCTCTCAGGCGGAGGGGGAGGGGTTGGACGAAGAGGACGACGACGACGACGACGACGACGACGACGGCGACGGCGAAGGCGACGGCGACAACGACGACGGCGACGGCGACAGCGGTGATGGCGACGACGGCGGCGACGGCGACGGCGGCGGAGATGGCGACGGCGACGGCGGTGGCGGCAGCGGCGGCGGCGGCGGCGGTGGCGACGACGACGACGACGACGACGGCGACGGCGCGACGGCGACGGCGACTGCGACGGCGACGGCGACGGCGACGGCGACTGCGACGGTGACGGCGACGGCGCCGGCGGCAACGGCGACGGCGACGGCGACGGAGACGACGACGACGACGACGGCGAAGACGACGGGGACGGCGACGGCGACGGCGACGGCGACGGCGACGGCGACGGCGACGACGACGACGACGACGACGATGGCGACGGCGACTGCGACTGCGACGGCGGCGACGACGACGACGACGGCGACGACGACGGCGACGGCGACGACGACAGATACGGCGACGGCGACGACGACGGCGACGGCGACGGCGACGGCGACGGCGACGGCGACGGCGACGGCGACGGCGACAACGACGGCGACGACGACGGCGACGGCGACGGAGACGACGACGACGACGGCGAAGACGACGGGGACGGCGGCGACGCCTTGACGGCGACGGCGACGATGGCGGCGACGAGGACGACGACGGCGACGACGACGGCGACGGCGAGGGCGGCGGCGACGGCGACGACGACGGCGGCGGCGACGACGGCGATGTCGCGCCAACGGGGAGCGGACCGTCACCTCCGTTAGGTGTGCCGCGCGTGAGAGTCATTCAAGGCATGAGTGGTTGCCTTGCCTAGATATTGGCGTTTACTGCTGAGACGTAGTGGTTGCTCATACAGGCGGTAGCGGACGCAAATAGACACTGATAGGCGCCAATCGGTGCTAATAGGCTTGCTAGAATCGCTGATAGTGACACTGGTGGACACTTATAGGCGCTAACAGAGCCGAATCTGCCTGTTTTCAAACCACCTTCAAATAGTTGTAGTGGCCTCCGGCCAGTGCCGCCGATCCGGGGTGCTACCGATTCTGCGTGCGACGGATGACCTGTAATATTTACAAGTAGAGCGCTCGCTCGAGACATCCTCATAAGATAGACATGTTGAACTCGCTTGGGCAGCCTTCGGATATTCGAAAGTATCAATCTCGCGTGAACTGCCAAACTCATGGGATATCCCCGTCCACCTTCCGGGCCTGAATGGCGTCAGCCATGGCGTCAGCCCCGGCCCCCCACGACTGCCCCGTCCTAGGCGTGAGTGGAGTCAGCCATGGCGTCGGCCCTCCCCCCCCTCTCCTCTCCCGAGCCTGGCATCAGCCATGGCGTCAGCTCCCCCCCCCCGACAGAGTGAAGCTTGAAAGAGTTCCCCCGTCCATCCCCCCTCCCAGGCGTGAGTGGCGTCAGCCATGGCGTCAGCCCTCCCCCCCCCTCCCCGACTCCTCCCTCCCGGGCCTGAATGGCGTCAGCCATGGCGTGAGCCCCCGGCCCCTCCTCCCCTTCCCCCGATTTCCTCCTCCTGGGCCTGGATGGCGTCAGCCACGGCGTTTCGCCCTCCCTCCCCCTCCTCCTTCCCGGGCCTGAATGGCGTCAGCCATGGCTTCAGCCCCCCTCGCCCCCCCCCCTCGGATCCCCCGCCCGGGCATGGCGTCAGCCATGGCGTCAGCTCCCCCCCCCCTTCCCCTCCCCCCGACTTCCTCCTCCCGGGCCTGAATGGCGTCAGCCATGGCATTCCCCCCCCCCTCCCCATGACGTTCCCCCCCCCCCCTCTCCCACCCCTCCTCACTCCCGTGGCCCTGAATGGCGTCAGCCCCCTCCCCCCCGACAGAGCGAAGCACTCCCTCCCCCTCGCCCCTCCAGGGCCTGAATGGCGTCAGCCCCCCCCCGCCTCCTCCCTCCCGCGGGCCTGAATGGTGTCAGCCCCCTCCCCCCCCCCGACAGAGCGAAGCACTCCCTCCCCCTCGTCCCTCCCAGGCCCGAATGGCGTCAGCCGCTCCTCCCCCTGCTCCGTTTCTGGCCTGAATGGCGTCAGCCCCCCGCCCCCTCCCTCCTCCTCCTTCCCGGGCCTGGATGGCGTCAGCCCCCCCCCCTCCCCCCGACAGTCGAGCGTTGCCCCCCCCCCCCCCCCCCCCCCCCCCCTCCTCCCCCCCCCCTCCTCCCTCCCGGGCCCCCCGACTGGCGTCAGCCCCCTCCCCCCTCCTCCCTGGCCTGAATGGCGTCCTCCCCCCCCCCCCCCCCGACAGAGCGAAGCTTGCGCGAGCTCAAGCCCACGCTCTCAGAAACTCACACGCCGGATCGGCGGACACACATAACCTCCGGGTGGCCCTTCCCGTTTCCGCGCTCTGCGAGCCCAGGTCTGGGAGCTACGGCCAGCCGGGCCCACCCTGGTTTGTGCTGACCTAGGCTGGGGCGTCCCCGAAACGGCTCAGCCAGGACATTGCTAAGCAGGTCTTGGAGAGTTTCATGTACGACATCGCGAAAAACCACGACTGGAGCCTTAGATACCATCTTTCTACAGCATTCTTCGAGGCGGGTCGATCTGTGTGATCCCAGGGCCCGAGGCCCAGCGAACTGTTTCGTCGGCGCCGAGGCAGAGGCAGTCCGCACCAGCGTGGGGCGATCGGGGCAACCGATGGGCACATTGTCCGGCGTGCAAGAGAGAGAGAGATCGGGAGCCTTGAGACGGGGGTCAATGCAAACGGGGGTCAGCCAAAGCGCCCGATCTTGCAGGATCCTGCAGAGGCCAGGGTCGCACTCACCCGGGCTTGGGTGCAGGACCTTGCAGGATCTTGCAGGATCCTTCGCATTGACCCGGGCTTGGGTGCAGGATCCTGCAGGGTCCTGCAGGATCCTGCAAGGCCGGACTGACCCGGGTCTGGATTGACCCGGGTCAGCAGGTCCCCGAAGAGAGATTAAGACGAGGGCGGCCGCGCAAAGCGAGGAGGGGGAGAGCGGTCAGACGTGTGGACGAGTTCCGCGATGAGCGGGCCAGAGCGGCCAGCCAGGGCAGCGGGGCACCGCGGCAGCCGCTGGGGCCAGGGCGCACCCGCGGGCGCAGCCAGGGCGCAGTGGCGGTGACGAGCAATCAGAACCAGTGCTGGAGCAGGCCAGGCGAACACGCCCAGCGTGAAAAAGCTGAGCCTCCCAGATCGCAGGGGAGAGAGCGAAGCATGGAGAGAATGCTTTGTTTGACCCACGGCCGCAGCTTTCTCCGGCGTGCCGACGTCTTTGTTCTCAGAGCCCTCGTGAAGGCGTCTTTGAGCGGCGACGGCGACGGCGGCGAGCGCAACCCTCGAGGAGGGCGGAGGACGGCCAGGGGCGCTCCGCGAAGCAGAAGCGCCCGCTGGGCAGCGTCGGGCTGGCCGCCACGGGGGACCGAGGCGGGGGCGGGCGGCGGCGATGATCGGGGGGCAAGGACTGGCGGGGGATAGGCAGATAGGCATAGGGGGGGAGTCACCGATCCCCAATCGCCCATGGATCGCCGATAGGGGCCCGATAGCCCCAACCCGCCCAGGAAGGTGCGGTTTCGCTATCGTGGGCCTATCGACGATCTATTGGCGATGTATCGCCGATTCCACGTCGACGCATACCCGCTATACCAGTCCCCCCATATTTGCCTCTCGGATGATGATGCTGATGCCGTTGAATGGCGGCGATGACGATCAGGGGATGAAGATGTACTGACACCGCTGCCCTTCCGTCATCGCATCGGCCAGATTCGCCCCGAAGTCCTGGTCAGATCGTTCCCCGGAGGAGGTCTGTTGAGCAGCGGTATCGGTATCGTTTCTCTTCCTTGGCGATTTCGATGGTGGTGGTAACGATGATGATGACGTCGATTGCGATGGCGAGGATGAAGATGGCGACGGCGATGGCGATATTGAGGGTGGTGCTAATGGTGGCGATGGTGACGATGGCGATGATGGTGATGGCGACGGTGATGATCAGGACGGTGCCGATGGCGGCGGTGATGGTGACAATGGCGATGACGAGGATTATTTCATGATGACGATGACGACGAAGACAACGACGACGACGGTGACGAGGGGGAGGAGGGTGATGATGATGCTGCTGATGATAATGATGACGATGATGCTGGTGCTGTTTGCTGCAGCTGATGATGATGCTGATGCTCATGCTAGAGCTGATGCTGATGGTGATGATGATGAAAAAGAAGATGCTAATGATGAATGTGAGGATGAGGGTGACGATTGACAATGGTCATAATGATGATGCTGATGATGATGTTGATGATGATGGTGATGATGATGATGTTGATGATGATGGTGATGATGATGATGATGATGAGGGTGACGATGGGTAATGATAATGATGATGATGATTATGATGCTGGTGATGGTGATGGTGACGATTGGTGATAGTGATCATGATGAGGATGATGCTGCTGCTGCTGCTGCTGCTGCTGCTGATGATGATGATGATGATGATGATCACGATCCATGGCCACCACCCCCTACTTCATCATCCGAATTGGTATCATCAGCCGGCATCTGGCTTCAGCTTGTCGCGCGGCCATGTCCCGAGTTGCGAACGTCACCCCAGCATCTCCCGACCCCCGAGTGGTTGGGAGATGTTTTGGCAGATCTTATCTCTTATGCGGTACCGAGGTGTGGCGCGAATAGAACGGAGATCCACGCCATGGTAAGGGATGGGAGGGAGGGGTAGGACGTCAGATGAGACGCTTGCGCGCCTAGCTTGCCTCTTCCTCTCTCCCCTCCCGTCCCTCCTCTCCCTCCTTCTCCTCTCCCCTCCCTCCTCCTTCACAATTGAACGATGTGAATGCTACTCTCCTCTCTCCCCTGAGGCGTCTGGGGAATGTGTCCGGCTACCCTCCGCGTACCGGTTTTTTAACAGGATTCCTGGGAGTTGGGTTGTCGCTTGGGTTTTTGTTTCAAAATACTGCGCTCGCTGCAGCGCTGGCTTCATTTTTGGGCTACCGCTCGTTCCGATTCGTGCTCCCGCTGCAGCGCTGGCATCATTTCCGCGCTTCCGCTCGTTCCGAGTCGTGCTCCCGCTGCAGCGTTGGCGTCATTATCTCCAGCGCCATGCCACGGCATGGTTTTCGGCCCTTCTAAATAGGCCCCAAAATCGAGAAAATGGCCTCCCGAAGAAGCTATCGGAAGTGATTCCACATTCGGTGCCGATTCGTTGACGTTTGGGGCCGCGGAAGCCCCCCCACTTTTGGGCTTCGCCACGCCATGCTATGTCAGGCTACGTGTCGTCATTTCCGCGCTTCCGCGCTGATTTATTTTTTTTTGTAATGCCGCGCTCGCCGAAGCGCTTGCCTCATTTTCGGGCTACCGCTCGTTCCGAATGGTGCTCCCGCTGCAGCGTTGGCCTCATTGCCGCGCTTCCGCTAGTGCCGAATCGTGTGCCCGCTGCAGCGTTGGCGTCATTATTTCCAGCGCCATGCCACGGCATGATTTTCGGTCCTTCCAAATAGGCCCCCAAATCTAGAAAATGAACCCCCGAAGAATCCATCGGAAGTGATTACACATTCGGTGCCGATTCGTTGATGTTTGGGCCGCAGAAGCCCCCCCACTTTGGGGCGTCGCCACGGCATGCTATGTCAGGCTACGCGTCCTCATTTCCGGGCTTCCGCGCTGAGTTGTTTTCAAAATGCTGCGCTCGCTGAAGCGCTTGCCTCATTTTCGGGCTACCGCTCGTTCCGAATCGTGCTCCCGCTGCAGCGCTGGCATCATTTCCGCGCTTCCGCTCGTTCCGAATCGTGCTACCGCTGCAGCGTTGGCGTCATTATTTCCAGCGCCATACCACGGCATGGTTTTCGGTCCTTCCAAATAGGCCCTAAAATCTAGAACATGACCTCCCGAAGAAACCATCGGAAGTGATTCCACATGCGGTGTCGATTCGCTGATCTTTGGGGCCGCAGAAGCCCCCCCACACCTTGGGGCGTCGCCACGCCATGATATGCTATGTCATGCTACGCGTTGATCTTCGACACAACGCTATGCCATGTAATGCTATGCCATGCTGCGAAATCCGAACGTGCGAATAGAGATCAGATCTACGCTATGGTAAGGGATGGGAGGGAGGGGTAGGACGTCAGATATGACGCGAGCGCACCTAGCTTGCCTCCCTCCCCTCCCCTCCTCCCCTCCCGTCCCTCCGCTCACTCCTGCCTACCCCCGCCCTTGCGCCCCTCTCCTCCTCCCCCCCCATGGACCCAGACCCTTGACGTCATGATTTCTTCATAACGTCGACCCCCAGACCTCTCGACCCATTCCCCTGGACCAGCTTTTCTTTCTGAGTTTTTTGTTGGCGGTCCTGAGGCCTGGTAAGGGCCCTCGGAGGCCGAAAATAGCGAAACACCTCCCGCCGTGTTTTCTTGATGACTCGAGGGGGTCATGGGGAGAGAGGAAGGCCAAGCGGGCCGGGAGCTCCGCGCCCCCGCAAGGCGCGAGGAGGCTGCTCCGCGGCGTGGCCGCCGCTGCCGCGGCGCGCTCCTCGAAGGCGGCCGCCAGCGCGGCCGCCGCCTCCATCGACCCCATCGATGGGGGAGAGAAGGAAGAGGAGCAGGGAGGGGAGGAAGGAGAGAATGAGGGAGCCCCTGAGATCCTGGCGTCGCATGTGTTATTCACAGCGGGCGCTTTCGCCCGGTTTCGGGCCCCGGGACCCTCCTAGATCGGTCCGGCTCGAAAGATGACGCAGAAAGATTGGGTCTAGGGCTCCAGTCGTGTTTTTGTTGCGATGTTGTTTTTTCGCAACGTCAGACCTCAGGGGAAGGGGAGGATGGAGGAGAGAAGGAGGGAGGGGGAGGGAAGGGAGAGGAGGAGGGAGAGGAGGGAGAGGAGGGCTCCGCAGCGTGGCCGTCGCCGCCGTGGCGAGCCCCTGGAAGGCGGCCACCAGCGCGTCGCCGCCTCCGCCGCCCCCTTGAGGTTCTCGGGGTTCGGTGGCAAATCATGGGAGCCTGGCATGTCCTCGCAACTCCGTCTTTAGGGGGCGCTTGTGTGCGCTAGCGCGCTGGCGTCTGGAAATCGATGAGGAGGCGCCGATTTCGCGTCGATTAGCGTCGATGTAGCGTCGATCAGTATCGACTCGAGGCAATGAGCATCGATTAGCGTGGATTTGAGTCGATTCGCACGGCTGTTTCGCCTGAGACTTCTTCGCAATTTAGTACCACAAGGAGGTCCTGCAGAAGCAGCTACTCGCGGACGCCGAAACGTCGTTCTCGCTTGAGACTGCTCCGCAATACAGCGCCACAAATGGGTCCGTCAAGACATTCTTGCTGCTGCTCGCAGATGCCGGAACGGCCGTCTCTCTTTGAGACTTCTTCGCAATTCAGCAGCACAAGGGAATCCGTCAGAGCAGTCTTGCCCCTATTTGCGAAGGCCCCACGAGGCACAAAGGACGCTCTCTTCGGGGAGCCGGAAGCCTTTGTCCGCCTTCCCGCCCTAAGAGCCAGCAAGATGGCGAGCCAGCAAGATGGCATGGGAGGCTCCCATGAGTTGCCACCGAATCAGGGGCCGCGAGACGGTCGGACGTTCTCGTCCGTTCTCAGTGGTATCGCCTCCTCGACATTCTCGGGTCCTCGAGGCTGCGGGCGTTCTCGTCAGTTCTAGGCGGCTTTCCAGCCTCGGGGTGCCTTCAGCAGTTGCGCCTCGCCGAGGGCGTTCCGCGGGTGCCCAGATCCTCCCAAACGGCCGCCGAAGGCCCGAGTTAGGTCTCGAAGGCCACTGGACGGGGGGGGAGCAGCAGCAGCCCCCAATCACCCATGCATCGCCAATTGGTGCCTGGGTGGGGCCCTGCTCCCTCCAGGAGCGTGCGGTTCAGCTATCGAGAGTCTATCGCCGACCCATCTGCGATGCATCGCCGACTCCAAGTCAGTGCAATGTTTCTGCCCCTGAGCCAGCACCTCCCCCCCGCCCCAACCGTTCCCCCCCCCGGTCGACAGTTTCTTGAATGGGGGGATCGAGGGTCGAGGTCCCAGGTCCGAGGTTCGAGCATCATCCCCGCCCCCTCGCCTCGTCACGTTCCCTGCTCCCGTCCTCGCCCCTCACTCCGCCGCCACCATCGTTGACGCACGTGGATGCCATCGACGTCGCTGACGCGGACGCCGCCGCCGCCGCCAGCGGCCGCCGCCGCCAGCGGCCGCTGCGCCGCTGCCGCCTGGCGCCGCCGCGGCCGCTTGGCGCCGTCGGCGCTGCCGCCCTCCCTGAGATCCGACCTGGCGCAAAGCTGCAGCATCGCGCAAGGTCACGCTCCTCCTCCTCCTCCTCCTCCTCCTCCTCCTCCTCCTCCTCCTCCTCCTCGACTGCAGCCCCAGACACCACATGTCTGCGCCTTTGTCCGAGCGGGATCGACGATCTGTGATGGTCCCCAGGCCCGGAACTGGGCAAAGCGTCCAGTGTGAAAAAGTTGCAGCGGCTGCATTTCAGGGCCCCCCTCCGATATGAGGCGGCGCCGGCGACGCTCCGGAGAGCCGCGCCCACCGCGGCGGCGCCCGCGGCGAAGGCCATCCCGGCCAAGGCGGCGCCCCGAGCAGTGGCTGCGGGGCCTCCGCCGGCGAAGGCGCGTTCGACGTCCCTGCTGCTCTGCGTGGCTTGATGTGGGCGGCCATGGGGGAGATGTGTGTGTGTGTGTTGTGTGTGCGTGTGCGTGTGCGTCTGCGTGTGTGCGTGTGCGTGTGCGTGTGCGTGTGCGTGTGCGTGTGCGTGTGCGTGTGCGTGTGCGTGTGCGTGTGCGTGCGCGTGCGCGTGCGCGTGCGCGTGTGCGTGTGCGTGTGCGTGTGCGTGTGCGTGTGCGTGTGCGTGTGCGTGCGCGTGTGCGTGCGCGTGTGCGTGTGCGTGTGCGTGCCATCGTCGACGTCGACGTCGTCGCCGCCGGCGTCCTCGTCGGGGCCCACGTACGGAACAACTTCAAGACGTCAGAGGTCCGCGGTCATCGCCGCCGTCGAGGCTCGAGGATTGCAGTTGTTTATGTTCTTGCCCTTGCGGGGCATCTGGAGACCTCTGCGGACCGCGGACCTCTGGGGCCTCCGGCTGATGTCGATCGTCGTCGATGTCGTCGTCGTCGTGATCGTCGATCGTCGTTGCCGCCAATCGCCGATCGAGGCTCGAGAGTCGAGGTTTTGGGGGGCGCTGCTAGCCTCAAGAGGCCTGCGCCGGGAGCTCCCGAGACCTCCAGAGACTCGTCGTCGTCGTCGTCGCCGTCGTCGTCGTCGGCGGCGGCGGCGGCTGTGGCATTGTCGTCGGTCGTCCTCGTCGTGTTTTGCCGTCGCCCCAAGTGTCTCCGGAGGCTCTCGGACGGGCCCCGCAGAGGTGTTCGGACCCCGCGGCGCTGTGCAGCAGCCACGCCTCGTTGAGAGCCCCGGGGCGCTAAGGTCACCACGCTTCGCGCGCGTCGCGGCCTCGGCCAGAGCGGCTGCCCTTCTCCAATGAGGCGGCGCGAGGGCGCAAACAAAAACTGCGCATCGCTCATCGCGAGGCCCGATGCGCGAGGCTAGGCGACATCGGCCACCCCGAACGACCTACTGGGCCCCGAGCTGCTGCCCGAGAGCCGACAGGGATGCAGCCGTCGGGGTGGTCGTCACGTCGGGTTTTCGACGCCTCTCCCTCAGGCACTTCGCGACAGGAGCCGCCCTCACAGGCTCCTAACTCGTTGGGCTTTCACTACTCCTTTTTAGTGGCTGGCGCCTTATCCCTTGGCGTGTTTGCGACTCGTTTCTTGCGCATTCTATGCCGCGTCCTGCGTCCCCCTCGTCGCCTACAGTTGAATCCGCCTAGACATCCAGGCCGCCGCCGCTGCCGCCGCCGTCCCCGCTGTCGTCGTCGACCGACCGACCCGACCCATACCTCCGACGACGCGATGGCGCTGTTTCCTCATCTCGGCCTCTAAGGGCTTCAATTCCCCAGACCCCCTCGAGTCATGGAAAAATGTCGATGGGAAGTTTTCCGTTATGTTCGGCCTCCAGACAAACGCCCGCCAAATCCTCCAAAAAAACGACGACGACGATATTGCCGTCGGCGTCGCCTCCAGAGGCCTCTGCCCCAAGGCTTTCCGAGGCCTCCCGAGTCTCAGGGGGTGCCGCAGACGCCCAAAAGAACCTCTGACCTCCAAGCCTTGAGGGGATGATGCCGTTGGCGTCGTCTTCCCGCAGCTGGGTGTCGGGAATCGACGTCGGGGCCAGCGCCGTCTGCGGCGTCGAGTCGTCCTAGCAGCGGGGCGTCCTGACATCCCCCGGTGTGATTTTTTCAATGCGCGGCCCAACAGGTCCCGACCTTTTCCTTGGGGGTAATGTTTCGCCTCAGATACATGTATGATCGTCCCTGGGCCCAAGAACGGATCCCAGAGGCCGAAACAGAGGAAAACCGCCTGGATTGAAAAACAACTTCTCGTCGGAGATCAGCGGGCGTCGACGTCCTCAGAGATCCGACGTTGCGAAAAAATGCAACATCGCAGCATCGAAACATCACGACTGCAGCCCTAGACCCCATCTTTCTGCGGCATGTTTCGGAACGGGTCGATCTGTGAGGGTCCTGGGGCCCGAAGCCAGCCGAAAACGCCCGGCGTGGAAAAAGTTGCGAGGCCTGGATCTCAGGATCGGCGTCGGCGTCGTCGTCTGCGCCGCCGTCGTCGGCGACGCCGACGTAGACGAGATCCCTGGTGGTCTCGACCCATCCCCCAGGGCCGGCTTCTCATCCCGAGCCGCTTCTTGACAGTCCCAGGGGCCCGGCGTGGGCCACCACAAGCTGCAAAAATAGCAAAACACATCCCGCCGTGCTTTTCCCACGGCGCGCGCATGTCTCACGGGCGTCGATGTCGGCGTCGTCGTCGGCGCCGCCGTCGTCGGCGGCGCCCTCCGCAAAGGCCGCGCCGGCCGCGGGCGCGGCCCGCGACGGCCGCCTGCGGCCGCCGCCGAAGGCGAGCCCGCTGCAGCACGGCAGGCGGCCGCTGGGCCACGCGGAGCCCGTGGAGCCGGCCGCGCTGGCGCCGGGCGCGTCAGCGCCGGCCGTCGGCGCCGAGGCCGCCTGCGAGGAGCCCTCGGCCCTGGCCTGTGCAGAAGCGGTGGTCGGCGGCGAGCGCGGGGGGAGGTCGGGTGCGGGGTGGGCCTTCCCAGAAGGCTCGGAAGGCCTCGGGCCTGCTGAGAGAACTGTTCCAAGCCTTCCCCGAAGACACAGGGAGCTTCTGAGAAGGCTGGAGGGCTTCGGAGAAGGCCTACCCCTTCTCACTTCCCCCTTGGGCGCGCCGCCGAAAAGAACAAGGGGAGGTTTTCGGTAATTTTCTGCCTTTGGGGGCCCTCGCCAGACCCTTGGACCGTCAAGAAAGGATTCAGGATGAAAGGCCCGCCCAGGGAATGGGCCGACATCTCTGGGGTCGACGTTTTGAAGAAATCATCTTGAGATCCGGGCGTCGCTACTCCTTCACCATGCTTTCTCGCCCAGTCTCGAGCACTGGGACCATCACACATCTATCCGGCCAGGAAAACGCAGCAGAAGGATTGGGTACACGGTCTGGGGCTCCGGTCGTATTTTTCGCGCTGGTGCATTGTGTTGCAGCGTCGGATCTCAGGGCTGGCCCCTCGGATCCAGGCGACGCAAAACCATCGCGACGCCTTTTTTTTGTTTTTGTTACGTTTTCGGCCTCTGGAGCCACATCCCGGCCCCAGGACCGTCAAAACATTGGTGGAGAGGCTTGACGGCCCTTGCCGCCGACCCTGGAAGATGACCCTCACGTTGCAGGAGGTTTTCGGGGGTGCTCGGGAAGGTGGTACGGCTCCCGTGAGGTTCCCGCGCCTACTACTAGAACGCTCCATGATGCCAAAAGCCGTCGAAAGGGAATCCAACGAGTAGGGGGAGGAGGAGCAGCACGAGGAGGAAGCCGAGGAGGAGGAGGAGGAGGAGGAGGAGGAGGAGGAGGAGGAGGAGGAGAGGAGATGATTTGGGGCCTTTTTGTGATTTCCGCATGACTCTGGGGGCGAATGGCTGCATCGTGAGGCTACGTCGGACCTTCCTGGAGCACTCGTGCGGCCGTTTTTGCGTCTTCGGCGTTCTCGGATCAGCCTCGCCTGCTCTGAAGGCATCGTGGATTTGCTCGGCTTCAAGGCCGCGCCAGCCTGGCCATTTTGGACACCACTTGGCTGGCTCTGGTGTCTCGTGGAAGCAAGATTGGCCGTCTCGCAGTGGATCATGGGCCAGATGTAGCCGTTGTGTATGCCATTTTGAATCGTCACGGGGCTGTATGGGGGCACTAGCGTGGCTTCTTGGGTTGGCGGGGCGTTACTGTGGAGGCCCTCTGCGCTCTGTGAGGCCGTCGGGAGCTGGAAAGGGCAAGAAAGCCAGCCTCATTGAACGGCATGGTGAAGATCACTGGCTAGCGGCATTCTGGGAGCCCCCTTCTGGCCTTGTGGGGGCCTCTTGGGAGCCTCTTGCTCTCGGGCCGTCTTTGAGGCCGCTTGGGCCCTGTTGGGATTGTTAGGCAGCAGTCCTGGCGCCCTCCGGGGTGCCTCGTAGGCCGTTTTGGGGCAATATGTTGGGCCTCGCTGGCCGCATTGGAGCGTCGGGAGGGAGAAAAGAGAGAAACGCTAAAACCTGTCCAACAACAATGCGCATTGAACCACTGTTGCCTGGGCGCTCGTGGAAGTGCTTTGAAGTGCCTCTTGGGGCGTATTGGAGGCGTCGTGACCTGTCTGGAGGCCATCTTGGGCGGCTTGGGGCGAATTTTGGGCGACTCGAGGCTCTTTTTGAGCTCATCGTGGATTATCTTGGAATTGAATTGCCGAAGCCCCCCCCAAAAAAAGGAAAGGGGGGAAGCACGTTCTGACCCAGGACCTTCCCTGGACCCTTCGATCTCGCTACAATTGCGATTTCGACCTGGCTCGAGTCATTTCGAGTTGACGAGCTTGGCGCGCCGCGGAGGGTCTTGGGAGAGACTCCGGGAATGAAAGAGGACATCGAATAAAAAATCGTCTCCGGGAATGGAAGAGACTCCGGGAATGAGAATGGGAGAGACTCCGAGAATGGAAGAGATTTGGGGAATGGAAGAATGGGAATGGGAATGGGAATGGGAGACTCAGGGAATGGGAATGGGAATGGGAAGGGCCTTGGGAGAGACTCCGGGAATGGAAGAGGGCATTGAGGACCACCACGGGACGACGAACCCAGAACTCCCTCACACACACACACACCGACAGTGTCGGCGGGTTTAGGATGAAAAGCCGGTCTCCTGGAATGAGTTCGAGATCCCCAGACATCCAGCGTCTTGGAAACATCCAGACGGCGTTTTGCTCGTCAGTTTCGGCTTCTGAGGGTCCTCGCTGGGCTCGGGATTGTCAAAACATGATTCAGGACGAAACGTCGGCCCTGGGTAGAGGGTCGGGACTTTGGGAACCCCGCGATGAACAGATCAAAGCATCAGACGATTCGGCAGCCTTCGGCGGCCATTGCGGCCTGTGGCGGCCACCGGCAGCCTCCATCGGCCGTCGGCGGCGATTCGGCGGTCGCCAACGAGGAGGACGAGTCCCGGATGTTCCCCGACGAGCCGGATGGCGAACGGCTCCCGGGCGGGCGCCTGTTGGGCCCCGCGCGGGGTGTGTTTGGCCCGGCCCGATTTGTGTTTTTTGTTGTGCGATGTGGATGCTATTCGGTACGATCGAAATCGCTACGGGAAAAGTGGGCACGAAAAGCAGCGGCATTTCCTGTTCAGTTTGAACAGGACTCGCTGCCGGCGTCGCGCGGACCTTGTCCACTTGATGCAGAAAGCCGCCTGCCCGAAAGCGGCCGCTGTCGGTTTTGGATGAGAGCTGCGATTGTGCATCGTACAACTGTTTCCCTGTCCATTTCGGGCGTCCAAATCGGCGCATGGGCTCTCCTGGCCAGAAATGGCGTATACTCTGGCTTCCAGAGACCCGAAGATCTCGAGCCCCGAGTTCTTCAGCATTTTCGGCCTCTCGAGGCCAGCTTCGGGCCCTGGGACTGTCAAAAAACCATTCCCAGGGAAAGGGTCGAAAAATCTGGGGCCCCGAGACTCGAAATTCTTGACTCGTCGCGTGCATCCACAAGCCCATCCGAAAACAGACACCAGTTGAGTTGCCCTGATCAGGGAGCAACGGCAGGCAGCCACCGAACCAAAGCACCCACAGCCTGTTTACGCGTTTGATGAGTCGTGTCCGCGTCGTTGCGTTCGTTTCGCGGCTCCTCGTGATTGTCCTGATTGAGTCGTTGCTTGTGGTTGCTTGCGGTGCCTGCATTACGTCGTGCGTGCCCAAGGCCGTCTTGGTAGAGTGGCTTGTCGGTTGCTCCCCGTGCATGCGTCGTTCTGGGAGCGTCTTGGAGGCCTCTTGGGGCCGCTGGTGTTGGTGTTCGGACTCGATGGCCTCTGCAGGGGCCATCTTGGGGCCATCTTGGAGGCCTCTGGAACGCTCTTCGGGCTCTCTTGAGGCTCTCTTTGGGCCCTCTCGGGGCTCTCTTGGGACCCTCCTGGAAGCCTTGGAGGTAGTCTCGGAGCCATTTTGGAAGCAATCGATCAAAGAGCGGGGGGGGGCCCTAACAGGGTTCCTCCGTTGGGGCCCGACAAATCGCCTCTTAGGGGCCCTCTAAGGCCGTCTTGGAGCGGTCTTGGGTGCTCTTGGGGCTGTCTGTCTTGGGCCCTCCAGGGCCCCTCTTGGAATCATTGTTGGGCCATCTTGGCGCTACTTTGGGGCCTCAAGAGCACATCGGAAGCAAAAGGCGAGAAGGCCAACGAAACACTTCGAAAAAACACATTGGTTGTAAAGGAAGCTGGCCTCCTGGGAGTCTCCTTGGGGCGCTCGAGTGGCACTTGGGGCCGCCCTGGGGCGGTGCTGTTTGCTCTGGGAGGCATGTTGGAGGTTATGTCAAACCATCGGGGGATATCTGGAGCGATCTTGGAGGCCATCTTGGGCTCCCTGGGGCCCTCTTGGAGCCGCCTGGAGCCAGACAGGACCCCTCTGACACATCGCGGGGGGAGGGTCCCAGGCCCAGGGGTATGGGGGGTTGGGGGAGGCGGGGGGCCCCTCTCCCCGCAGGGGAAGACGGCAGAACGATCACAGCACGCGCTCGTTGGACCACTCGCGCCCTGAAGGGCCGGTGGACACCTCGAGCTGCTCGAGGCCTGGGAGGGTCGGTGCGGTGACCCCTGGGCCAGCCCCGGAGGGCGTACACGGCGGGCTCGTGTCGTGCCGACGCGGCGGCGGCCCCGGCGCGGGCGTTCAGCGTTGAACGCCGCCAGCGGCCCAGGATCGGCCGATCGATCCAACGACCTGCAGGGTCGGAAGCGCCGTGATCGTTCCAGGCTGAAGGATCCACGCGCCGTCTGAAGCCCACCCGCCGCGCACGGATCCTGGCCCCAGGATGGTCCCGGCCAGGGGCGGCGTGGCGCGTAATCCCAGACCCCCCGACCTCGTGATTTACTCACCGCGAGATCTCCACCCCTCCCTCTGGAGGCCTCGAGGTTGGCACCAACACCGATATCAGCGAAGTACCTCTACCGAGGGAAGATCATCCCGATCTCGGTGATGGAGGTAAGACTCGGGCTTTCTAGGCGGCCGAAAGATTACCACCACCACCACCGAAATCTAGGATCATCCTCTCCTGGTGGGTGCGCCCCCCTGTCTTGGTGTTGGTGCCCACTTCCAAGCCTCCAATCCCTGGCACCAGCCCCTCATCCCGAGCCACGTTTTGACGGCCCTGGGGTTCGCCAGGGGGGCCCCCAGATTCTGAAAATGGGGCCTGTCGAGGGCTTGCCCAAGAGTGCTCCGTCGCACTTGTTCAGGAAACGAGGGGGTTTTGGCCCCATAGATCGATGATTTGATGTGTTCGATGCGGGTCTTCAAGAGTCCCGACTCTTTTTTGCTAGGGCCAGTTTCTTTTCCAGGGCTGTGTTGTCGATCGGCGGTCCCAGGTGAGGGCCCCCAGAGGCTTAAATTGGCAAACATTTCCGCATTGCGCGCTTCAACGCGTCATTGCGACAAAATTGCAACAGCGCAAAGAAACACGACTGGAGCCCTAGACTCAATACTTTTGCTGAATTTTTCGAGCCACGCCGATCTGTGATGGTCCCGGGGCCCAGAAACAGGCGAAAATGCTTGGTCTAAACAGAATTGCGACACCATCTCAGGGTGGGGTCGTCGGTCTCCGCCCAGGCTCTCCTTCATCCCCAAGCGGGCCGCGGCCGAGAGCCAGGCGGCAGACCGCGCGGAGGCTCGAGGTATCCCAGATGGGGTCCTAGTCGACGGGGTCGGACGATTGCGCCGCACCGCCGATGCATCGGCAACGCGGCTCGATTTGGAGCCCGACTTTCTCCACGCCGACGGTGCCCACGCAGCCGACGTTGCCGATGCATCGGCGACTCGTCGGCGCTGCGGCGCGACCCTCCGAGCCCATCTGCTCGGACCCCATATGGGAGGCCTCCAGAGGCGGAGGCGCCCCCCGCCGCGCCGGAGCAGACCCCGAGGCCCAAGAGGATGCCCGTGCCCACGGGCAGCCCGCTCGGCCCGCTGTAGGGCGCCAGCTCGCCGCCGGCGTGCCGCGCGGGGCGCCGGCTCGCCGCCCGCTGTGCGGCCGTTGGCCGCTGGCGTGCCTTTGGCCGCTAGCCGCCAGTGCCGCTGGCCCCGGACTCCCTCGCGTGGTGGACACTTTGACGACGGGCGTGTTGTTGCTGTTGTCTGCCTCTGGGGGCCCTCGGCCGGGCCCCTGGGCCGTCAAGAAACGACTCGGGGCGAAAAGCGGGCCCCGGAGGAAAGGGTCGAGGCATCCGGAGGTCCACGCATTGAAAAAGCAAGGCGTCGCACGTCTGGGCTTCTCAGCAACAGCAGCCCTCCGCATGACGTCGCGAGAACCATGTTGTTAGTCAGCGCGTACTCCAAACAGTGTGTTTCAAGCAATCGACGTGATGCAGTATGCCTGATGCTGATACAATCTACGTGGTGCAGTCTATGTGGTGCGGTCTATGTGTTGTAACTCACTTTGACTGTCTTGAAGCTGTCCTCTCCACTGCTCGTGCAAACATCCCACCCTCCCACCCGTCACTTGGTCGCAAGACCTCTTAAGACCCTGACGGTCGGTACCAAATGGCACTTGCCAACGACACCGACGACGACAGCGACAACGACGACGACGACGACGCCGACGACGACTACGACGACTCCGACGACTTCGACGACGACGACGACGACGACGACGACTACGACGACTACGACGACTCCGACGACTTCGACGACGACGACGACGACGACACCGAAGACACCGACGAAGACGACGCCGACGCCGACGACGATGATGACGATGATGACGACGCCGATGACGACGACGACGCCGACGACGACGACGACACCGATGACGCCGACGACGACGACGACGCCGACGACGACGCCGACGACGACGACGAAGACGACGACGACGACGTCGCCAACGAAGACGACGACGACGCCAAGGGAGGAGGGAGGACGACGACGGCGACAACGACGACAACGACGAGGGAGGAGGGAAGACGGCGACGACGCGAACGACGACGGCGACGAAATAGGAGGGACGACGACGAGACGACGACGACGGACGACGACGACGAGGGAGGAGGAAGGACGACCACGGCGACAACGACGACGGTAACGACGACGACGCCCAAGAGGACGACGACGACGACGTCGAGGAAAGTCAGAGGACGACGACGGCGACGACGACGACAGCGACGAGGGAGGAGGGAGGACGGCGACGACGACGACGACGATGCAAGATCGCGCGCGCACGCTTTTGTGGAATTGTCAACTCCGTTGCTCGCGCAATCACCCCACCCACCCGCCCGCAACTTGGTTTGCTGAATCCATGCGGCGGCGATTGCGATGAGCGCATGGCGTTGGCTGGTGGATCTCTGCGGCCGCGCTAGCCCTCGCATGCTCGCGCCCGCAGCGTTTGGCGCGACCGACGCGGCCGCGATGGCGTTGACCGCCGGGCACTTCCCAGCGGGCATTTCAATGCGAGTCGGCGACTTGGGCGGCCGCGGTATCACGGCAACGTCGACAATGGTAGACGCGACGATGATAGAAGCGACGATGGCGACGACGATGACAACGACGACGGCGGCGCGGCCAATGACGGCGCCGACGCTGATCACGCCGACGACGATGACGGCGTCCTCGCGTCGGCGCTGAAGATTTTGGAAGGGGTTCAACGCGCTCGCGCGGCCGACGCGCGAGAGTGGCCCGCGCGGCTTCATTTGACGCGGATTGACCCCCCCCCTCCCCGCACGCGCGCGGGCGTTCGATTGATTTTGATGCGCGGCGCGAGAGCCCTCGTTTGGCAGAATTGAATGGACACGTTGCAGAACTCATGGGCTTCTTCAGGATTCACAGAAACACAAACGCATTCATAAAAAAAACAAGCTGACGCTTCAAAACCATATTTTATACGTTTTCGGATCGCCCGGATTTGACATCTTGGCGGATCAGACCATGAGGTAGCCAACAGGATTTCAGCGCGCGCGCGACGACGCGCGCGCGTTTCGCCCCATTCTTTTTTGATACAAAAAGAAAGACAAATGACATCCCAGAGGTTCTTACGGCAGCACGCGCGCAAAGGTAGTTCTTGCGATGCCGACGCGCGCGCAAGAGGCCCGTTTTGGAGCCACGCGTCGAACGCGCTGAAAAATACTGCTTCCTTGCGAATCCACAAGGGCGCGGGCGCAGCCTTCTCCGGCGGGAAATTGTCGTGTGTGTTTCGAGGCGCTTGATTTTGAAATCCTAGCGACGCCTGAGGTGGTTGGCGGATTTGGGCGCGCGCGCGACGACGCGCGCGCGCTTCGCCCCGCCCGTTGCAAGGGAGGGGCGCTCGCGACAACGCGCGCGCGCGAGGACGTTCGAACGATTTCGACGCGCGCGCGAGAGGCCCGTCTGGCGCCATGCGAGGAACGCGGTGAAGAAGCTTCGGTTTTGCCTAGAATTGGCAAGCGCGATCGCAAGTTTTTTAAATGTCCCCAATCAGAACTTGCCTCTGTAGGGGTCCTAGCGGATTCGCATGGTTAGGCGAGGTGCGGCGCCGATTTGGTGGCCGGCGGCCGGGTGCCCGGGGGTGCCCGTGGGAGCCCTGGTGCCCAATTTCGGTGGCCGGACCCGGGTGCCCGGGTGCCCGTGGGTGCCCGGGTGCCCGGCTCGAGGATGCCCGGAGGTGCCCAGTGGTGCCCCGGGCAATTTATAGCCATGTAGCCCTATAGCCTTATAGCTCTATAGCACGATAGCCAAATAGCCCAATCGCCCATCTAGCCCATATGGCCTTATAGCCCAATAGCCCTATAGCCCTGTAGCCCTATAGTCCTATAGCCCCAATAGCCCCAATAGCCCAATCGCCCAATACCACTATATCCCCATAGCCAGATAGCCCTATAGCCCCATAGCCCTAAAGCCCTGTAGTCCTATAGCCCCATAGCCCCAACATCAACCGGATTGGGGCTTTTCTCTGGCATCATTTTAAAAATGCCCTCTGCGATTCCAAATGCTTCCGCGCGTTGCTGGCGCGCTCGATTCTGAAATCCGCGGGGCGCCCGGGGCTGGCGGAGGGCGCGCGCGCGCGACGATGCGCGCGCGCGAACTTCGCCCCGTTTGCTGCGAGGGTTTCTTGCAGCGCGATGACACGCGATAGAAGAATGCGCGCGCAGATTCTCCCCCGCCGGGGGCGAGCGCGGGGGGGGGGGGGGGGGGCGACGAAGGAGCGGCCGAGGCGATGCGAATTCATATCTAAGATGAGCGATGGGGCAGGACGACGCGCAAACTGCAACGCGAAAAAAGGGGGGGCAGTTAAGTCCGGGGGGGGGGGCAGGGGGTCCAATGGCGCCGCTAAATATGAGAATTCCCTTTGCCGAAAATGAAGCGCAAACTTCACTGCTCGCGCCGTCGCCCCATCCACCCGCCCGTTACTTGGCGCGCAAAACCCGCGCGGCGGCGATTGCGACGGCTGCTCCGCGCCGGATGGCGCATCGCCGCGGCCGCGCTGGCGCGCGCAGGCTCGCGCGCGCAGCGGCCAGAGAGTCTGGCGCGACCGACGCGGCCGCGGCGGCGCTGACCGCTGGGCATTTCCTAGCGGACACTTCAGTGCGAATCGGCGACTTGGGCGGGCCCCGCACCACGGTGACGCCGACGACGACAGACGCGACGCTGAGGGTAGCGACTCTGGCGGCGACGATGACAACGACGACGACAAGGGCAACGCCGGCGCCAGCGCTGGTTGCGCCGACGACGACGGCGACGACGGCGGCGCCTGCGCGTCGGCGGCGAAGGTTCGCGACGGGATTTCGACGCGCACGCGCGCGGCTGACGCGCGCGATTGGCCCGCGCGGTACGACGCGCCCTGGAGCGCGCGCCCCCCCCCCCCCCAGCGCGTGCGAAGGCGTTCGAAGGGTTCCAGAATGCGCGCGCGAGGGACCAGTTCGGTCGCACGCGACGAACGCGCTGGGGGCCTTTTTGCAGAGATAAAACGAAAGAGCGCGGGCGCCGTTTTTGTTTTTGAGGTAAAACCGCGTCGTCTAACCACTTGTTTCAACATATTTTCGGGGCACGCATTTTCGCGTTCCTTGCGACGCCTACATCAGTTTGCCGCGGAAAAAGTCGCATGGGCGCGCGACGGCGCGCGCGTGCACGTCGCCCCTGCCTTTTCGCAAGGGCTTCGCGCAAATCGCGACCGTTGATTCGCGGGCGCGCGTAATTTAATTTGACGAGGATGAGCGGGGAGGTGGGGGGTCGACGCCGGTGTTGCCACGGCGGTGCGATTTTTTCTGAGTGGCAAGGGATGCAGAAACACGCGTGCACTGCGCATCCAGGGGGGGGGTCGATATCCCGGCCTCGGGGGGGCTCGGCATTATTCATTTAAAAAACAAAATCCACCGAGCGCAAACCACCTTGCTCGCGCAATCGCCCTGCCCACCCAGCCGCAACTTGGCTTGCAAACTCACGCGGCGGCGATTGCGACGACTGCTCGGCGCTGGCAGGCGCGTCGCCGCGGCCTCGCTGGCGCGCGCAGGCTCGCGCGCAAAGTGACGGGCGAGTCTGGCGCGACCGACGTGGCCGCGGCGGCGCTGGTCGCCGGGGGCCTCCCAGCGCGTCTCGCAGGCTGCGCTGACACGCGGGCGCTTCAGCGCGAGTCGGTGACTCTGGCGGGCGCGGCATAATGGCGACGTCGACAACGGCAGACGCGACGATGATAGCGGCGATGCCGGCGACGACGACAATGGCGACGGCGTGGGCAACGACGGCGCCGACGCCGATCGCGCCGACGACGGCGCTGGCACCCTCGCGTCGGCAATTAAGGTTTCTGAAGGAGTTCGACGTGCGCGCGCGGCCGAACGCGCGAGCGGCCCGCGCAACATTGTTTGACCGGGGCCGATCCCCTCCCAGCGCGCGCGCAAGGGCGCTCGACTGATTTCGACGCGCGCGCGAGAGGCCCGCGCTGCCGCGTTCGATGAAAGTCATGAGCTACTTACGGCTTTTTGCAAGACTTCGCAAGAACCCGAGCGCAGGCT